CAATCTTAGTGGCTTAAAACAATCCACACTTCTTATCTTACAGCTCTGGAGGTCAGTTGTCCAAAGTTAGTCTCAGTGGGTGAAATCCAGGCGTGGGCAGGGCTGGCTCCTCCTGGAGGCTCCGAAGGTGAAGTCCATTCCCTTGCAGTTTCTAGGTTCTTGGAATGGCCCGTGGGGCTTTGCTCATCGTAGGCCCTTCCTCCAACTCCATGGCATATCCAGTTCTCCCTGATCCTCTGACTGTGCTTCCTTTGTCACGTCTCCTTCTCTAGCTCGGACCCGCCTGCCCCTCTTCCCAGGCGCCCTGTGATTGCACGGCGCCCACCCGGGTAACCCATCATCACCCCCAGCGCAAGAGGGATGTTTGGCTTCATCATGCCAGTAAAGTCTCTGTTGGCGAGTCGGGTAACACACGCACAGGATCTGGGGATTAGGACGTGGAAATCTTTGGGGAGGCCGTTATTCAGCCTCCCACTTGTGGCGCCGTGGGGCAGAACAGCAGGATTCTGAGGACATACACTTCGTGATTCTGAAGCAAATGTCCTCCTGGAAAGGGAGACTGGAAGGGCCCCGGGCAGAAGCCATTCTGTCACTTTCAAGTAAAGACGTTCAGAAAGCAGCTTCTTGAGAGGTGCCTTTTCTCCTGAATAACTAGAACCCTGGCGAGGCCGCGGAAACTCTGGACACAGGGAAGAGCTGTGGCCACCAGGGCCAGCCGCTGTGTTCAGTGTAACTCAAAGTTTTGTTTAGGCCAGGGCTGTTGGAGGAGGGCGTGGTTATTATCATTGTTCCGCATTCTGCGTTCTAAGTGTGGGATGTGCGGGAGATGGGGAGGACGGCATAAAAGCCAGGACTGTGAATAAAGAGCTGGAGCTTGAGACTGGGTCCCGGAAGTCACGCCCGTCCTCCTAGTCCGAACTTATTTCCAGATTCGCTCTCTGCAATCCAGAAACAGCTGCCAGCCTGCAGCCACAGAGGGCTTGGAGAGGACTTCTCAGGTAGGGACAGGGCTAATGACCGTGGCATTCACTCCAGAGAAGCCAGTGCGAGGGTTGAAGAGCCTTGTCGACCCAGGTGGTTCCCTTTAGGAAAGGCAAATCTCTGCTTTACGTGAAGCTCAGCTCGCAGTGACCCTGTGTGTGGTAGACGGGCACGCATCGCCCGGAAACCTTCCAGACCAGTGTGGCTGCCCGGCGAGCGCGCTCGCAGACAGCCGGCGGCTCTCGGCTCTGCCGGAGGGCAGAGCCGCTGTGCTCACCCCCTCTGGAACCGTCCACACGTCTAACCAGGGTCTCCGTGCATGGCTGTGTTGGACAGGAGCGTGAAACTCTGGAAGACTCCCCGTCAGAGCTCCCGGCCAGGTGAGCCAAGCTTTCTTGGGCCAGATCAAGGTTCGACCTCACCTCTGCCCAGTTCTGCTTCTGTCCCCTTCCCTTCGCAGGTGTCAATCCCTGGTAAACACCTCTCACCCCAAACAGCACGCGGTTGGTGCTGTTTAAAGGAGAGTCAGTGTGCCTCAAAGAAACACGAGCCCGCTGTGCAAGACAGGGTGTTAGTCACTCAGGGGGACCCGACCGGGGCTCAGAGGCAAGGAAAGGCATCATCCTAAAGGATAAAATAAAATCTAGACACAGGGTGCATGTTTAAAACCAGGTGTCCTGGAAGAAGAAGTTCTGGCAGTGTCTGCGAGGACAACAAGCTCCCCGGGACCAGCCGCCCGGCCGGCACGGTGCGCGGCTTGAAGGGGAGTGAGTGAGTCCCTGTGGGCGAGGCAGCGGCGAGCTCGGAGCCCAAGCGGGCCGCCCCGGCAGCGCTGGGAAGGACGTCCACTGGCAAAGGGCTCTCAGCACAGACAAGCATCGTCGTCTTATCGGTGGCAGCGTACAGCAGCCAGAAGGATGGCAGAAGACCGGTTCTTTCTCTGGCCAGCATTTGAGGGAAGAACTGTTCTCTCCTCTCCTTCCTTTTTTGGACTAAGTTCCTTGGGTCTTGGCTCATTGAAGAAGGGACTTAACAGCACGAGATAGTACTTTCTATTAATGTGAGCATGAGGGTTCTTGGATAAGGAATTTGGAAATATAAAGGAGCTATAGATACATTTGCAACCCAAACTGGTGGAACAGTCATAAGGATTACATGCAGATACTCAAACTGACACCATCGCTAACACATAATTCCAAATTAATCTTAACACTAGGAATCTCCATTTCCCATGTGTGGAGGAGAAGTTGTTATTTAATTTTCTTTCAATAGAAGAGCTTTGAAGAATATGGTTGTAAGTATGCAGCGTGATGAGGTAGTGGAAGGGATGGGCTTCACTTTCTTCTCCGGTAAGGAGGGTAGAATACCGGAAGGAGACAAACCTGGTTTCAGATGCGTGACCCCACTGGGGTCCTCCCTTCCCCTTGCTTGTGTCCTAACAGCAGGTGGATTACACCCAACCCTGGGTCACCCTTCTCCATGGAATGACTACAGGGCTCAGAGATTTTTGTGTGGTCTGCTGCCCTTGCTCCTCAGTTGGCATTTATTAATCTTACAAGGGAAATTGTGTGTCATTACCTGCATCACTGTGCACCAAGCACAATATGAAAATCATGATGATAACTTTTAATATTATCCCTCTAAGGCAAGGTCTCAAGAAGTGATTTTCCCCATAAAGGAGGCATTTGGGGGAAATTCCACGTGCATGGTTGTGGCTGCGCATGGACACAGAAGCTCGGTGTCCCTGCAGGAGAGTTCAGGTCATGGCATCTCATCAGGCAGGTGAATTAGACTCAGTCTGAGGCAGTGAATTGATTGCAACTATGCAGCCGCCAATTACACAAGTCCCAACAAATGGGATTCAGAAAACAGGATTGTTCTTTCACCTGGGAACCCTATGTGGCCTGAAGAGGACAATAAGAGAGAGAGGCAAAATCTCTAGACTCTCTGGGGATGTGGCTGGAGTCCCCACTTCTGTGAAGCAAGAAGTTCTCGACTGTTGACACCAATTAGAGGTGTCACAATCAGTTTGAGGCATGTCACAAGCAATTTGTTGCTAATAATCAAGTAGCAAATTTTGCCGATGATTTCTTTCTTTATAAATTAGATTAGTGTGTTAAGACTTCTTTGGTTGGAACTGAGAGCTAGGCAGGTTGAAATAGCTTGGGCAAGAAGAGGAACTTACCACAGTGCTGTGTTACTGCAAGAGTAGGGATGCAGCTAGGATGGAACCCAGAGCCAGGCATCCAGCTTCCCCGGGGCGCACACACACCACTTTCCAATCTACATTTCTCTGCCTGTTGGATTCTTTCCCACTGCAGGACATGTTTCTCTACATGGCAGGAGAGGCAGCTGCAAATGGTTCACAGGCCTCACACATCACATATTTTGATAGCAGAATATCCTGACTCTCTGTTCCAAGTTTTAGAACATCGAATATCTCTTCTTTTTTCCTTTTTTTAAAATTTCAGAATATTACAGAAGTACGAATGCTTTTGATCACATATATTGTCTTTGCACCACCCTAGTCAGAGCTCGGTGTGAATTGACCCATCCCCACCTCCCCCTCTCACCTGCCTGACACCTGATGAATGTTACTTCCATATGTGCACATAAGTGTTGATCAGTTAATGCCAATTTGATGGTGAGTACTTCGGGTGTTTGTTTTTCCATTGTTGTGATACTTCACTTAGTAGAATGGGCTCCAGCTCCATCCAGGATAATACAAGAGGTGCTATATCACCATTGTTTTATGGCTGAATAGAACTCCATGGTGTACATATACCATATTTTGTTAATCTATTCAAGTATTGATGGGCATGTGGATTGTTTCCATATAGTTGCAATTGTGAATCGTGCTGCTATAAACATTCGCATGCAGATATCTTTATTATAGAGTGTCTTTTTTTCCTTTGAGTAAATACCCAGTAGTCCTGGATAAAATGGTAGTTCTACTTTTAGTTCTTTGAGGCATCTCCATATTACTTTCCACAGAGGTTGAATATTTCTAATGTTCAATGGGTGTATCCTTGGTCACATAGCCACAATCAAAACAATTGACTATGGCCAAGGTGTGTCACATTTCTATTATCTGTGCCTCTCAGCTAAGCTCATATCACCCAGACCAGATCCTGAAATCACTCACATAGCATGACTCTAGGTTCATCTTCCATCTGTGTTCATCTTCACCCTTTATATGCTTGTCTGAAACCTATAGTGTATCAGCAGAACTCCCATTCATATCCTGAACTGCTGTCCTAAATGTTACTTGCATGTTATTCTCGTAATTGCCCTTGAAGATGCTTCCTCTGCAGCACCGCCCTCAAATGGATGCTGTTTTTCTCTCTCGGTCTCCCCAGATACCTCTGGGTCTGAAAGTGTACTCCTTGCTGTCTGCTGCTGCACTTCTCCTTCCTTCCCCAATATCCCCAGGCCTTTGGAATCAGGCCATTAGACTACGTCCACCCTGACCCTCGGTGCAACCCTTACCCATTGACTTACTGCTCATTTTCCTTCATTTATTAAAGTTTTGAGCATTTGCTTCATTGTCATTCTCTACATAAGCCATTCTTCACGCCCATAAGGACAGTTCAGTCCACACCCTACTGTGTCGGGTTATAATTGGGCTGGTGGGGATAGGAGGGATGGAGAAGACAAAAGAGAAGAGGAGTATAGTTTAAAACAATGAGGCTTCAGCTCAGACTTGAGTTGTGCTTGATTGTTCTATAGGAAATGCAGGGAGAGCACACCAAGGAAGAAGAGTAGTGTGGACAAATGCAGAGGGACTAGGAACAGCCTTGTCCATTTGCAAAACTGTAAGTCATTTTGACTGGGAAGCCATAGCAGAAGTGAAGTGTACAAAGGGGTGAGAGAAGACAGAGAGTTAAACTTTGCAGGGCTTTCTGTTCCATATTTAAAGATTTCATCTTTTTCCTGTTTTCAAAATAAAGGACATTAGAATAGCTTCGCACAAGTGCACGTCTTGATGACAGTATTTCACACATCATACGATGACTTACTCTCAAGGTCTGTCCTTTGACTGTGGCTCCACGAGGGTGGAGACTGTCTTCTGCACCTTCCAATCTCCTGGACCTCATGCAGTGCCCCCATGTAGGTGCTCCTGTTTACTGAATGAAATAGTGGAGTTTTGTGAGATGCCTTAAGATCATACTATTCATAGAATTATTCATAAAAAAACAACATAATTTTCATTGTATTCTAAGTTACAGTAATAATGTACAGATAAAGTTTAGAAACCATCTCAATTCATAGCCCTGGGATAAAGATTTTATGATCCTGAACTTTTTTTTTTTAACCTACTGTAGGGAACTATGATTAAGCCACTCTGTGCTAAGGAGTTTGTGAACAGGCCTAATGCTTTTCATGGCTTTATTGGTTTACAGTTTGCAAGGTGCTTTCCAAGTCCATTATTTTATTAAATCCTTTCCATCAAGTTTGAGAGAGGTGAGAGGTAGGTTTTATTATCCTTACAATGAAGAAGGTAAGGCAGAGACTTAAGCCCCTTGGCCAAGGTCATACAACAAATAAGTGGTAGAGCCTGAACTTAAACTGGGATCTTCGGTTCTGAGCACACTGATCCCTGTGTTCTCTCGCACTGCCTCTAGATTACAGTGAGGACATCTGACATTGAAGGGACTGCAGGTAACAAGTGAGGTTGTTATATGCCGTGGCTGTAGAAAGTCCCAGGTAAAAGCCATCTGTGCTAATAAGTGTGCGAATTGCCTGCAAATACTGGCGATACTTTTATCCTTTCACGGCTCGTGCTCTTGGCCAGACCCTTGCATTATGTCTAGTCTGAATCTTAGTCTTTCAAGAGAGATGTGCAGAAACGGGAAAGGGATTCGGCCTATTATGTCTGCTCTATGAAAGAATGTTCCCCATCTCCACAGAGGTCACGGCCTCACAGGAAATTAGCACATTGCAGCAACACGAATGTGGGCTAGACCTCAGAAAAACTTACTGATCGTGAGTGCTGTGAGAAGCGGGGAATGTGTTTCCAAACAGGATATGAAATCTCTATCACTCCAATTTTAAGAATAGGAGAATTCTGTTCAGAATAAGTTGAAAAGCCTGGAAGCTGAAGGATGTGTACGGTTAGCTCTGCATCCGCCCGGCCAGGCTGAGCTGCGGTGCTGGGAACCTTGGAGCTGACTCTGGCCTTATTCTTTCCATTCATCCTCCCCTCCCACTTTATTATTGTGCAGTCTGCTTGCTACAAGATAATTTGTTTCATTCTCGTTACTTTAAAAAAAAAAAAGTACCACCATCTAGTTTTCTATACCCAAAGAAAATCTGCCGTCTGGAAGGTTCCTCCACCTTCTGGTGATACCAAGATGAAAACAGAAAACAGGAAGCACCTAAGCTGTCTCTCTGTCTCCTCTCTTGGGTCCTCACCAAACCCTTAACCACGTTGAGAACATCACAAAGTACTTTTTAAAAAATCTGTTAGCTATTTTTTACACTCTTTACCAATTTCTTTATTCTGCCCTCTTCCCCAGATCTAAGTGATTACATTTTTCTGTCTTGCTATTTAAAACATCTTTATATGTGCATGTATGTACATATATTTATATTTCTTCAATGAGTTTATTTTTACATCATTAAACACTGTGGCTTGGGGCCACGTGGCAGATTTAAAAAATGACACGAATTTTCTCCCTCCTTGCATCAACACCCCTTTGAGGTGTGTAACTCAAAGAGCCCACCCACTCTCAGTGTGGACTCAGCCGGGACTGGCTCTGGTTTTTAGGATGTCAGCAAATGCAGAGCCCTTATAAGTGTTTGGGTCTTGGGGCTTGTTTCTCCTTGCTGCTTTCTTTGAATCCTAGGAGCACATGGGATGAAGCTCAGGCATCCTGGGGAAGAATGAGAAGCCCACGCAGAGATAAGCAGGGAAGAGCCACTTCACTCAAGGTACCCTTTGATCAACTCACCTGCCAGCTGCCTGATGTGGACACGAGGCCAGCCCTAATCATCCACACTCTAGCCTACTCACCCACTGGCTCCAGTCGTGACAGCCCAGCAGAGATTAACCAGCTCAAGTTAGCCTGGATCAAAATAACCACCCACTGAGCCACAGAATTATCAACAAAATACATGGCTATTTTAAGCTACTAGATTTTAGATGTTTTATTACACAGCTATAGAAAACTGGTATAGTCTACAAACTTAGAAATGGCAGCAATTAATCCTCATCTCTTTTCTTTTTACATTTTCTTGTCCAAGCTTTTGTACTTGAATTATAATAAAAATATGTTTATGTGTGTATGTTTTCTTTAGATATGAAATTTGTTTATATTCAATGAAACTAATACATATTAAATTATACATAAATTTTCTTCATCTATGTAAACCTGAACTTAATTTTTCATCTTCCATTAATGGACTTTAGGGGTTATTTCCAACATAAAGTCTAGTATCTATAATGATTCTGGTATACATCTCCTTATGCACATGTGGAGGAATTAGCTAGAAATAGTTATTGACTTATTTAGTATGCACTTTCTCAATTTTACTAGAAACTGCCAATTATCCAAAGTATTCAATATGTGAACTGCTTTTCTGTTTCATCCCTTGTTTAAGAAATCTTTCCTATACCAACTTTGTAAGATATTTATCTAAATGTTCTTTTAATAACTTTATGGCTTTTCATTAAACCATGTGGAATTGAATATTGGGTAGAGTGAAGAAGGTATCATACATTATTCCATATGAAAAGAAAATTGTTATTATGTAGTTTTAAACCATTTCTCCTTTACATATTGACTTTTAAAAACTATTAAATAATAAGGCTTTGTAAAATACTTGGGTCACTGTCTAGGTCTTTTATTCTGTTGATTTTTTTTTCATCTGTTCTTGCACCAATACCACACTTTTTAATCACTATGACTATAAAGTAAATTTTGATAAGTTTGATTTCTTTTTGATAAAGAGGTCTCTCCTCTTTGTTCTTATTTCATAAAACTCGCTTGGCTATTCAGATTCATTCACTATTTTATTTTAGAAATAACGTTTTAAGTCCCACAATATCCTTTAAAATTATGATTAGAATTTCATTGCATTTAAAGATTGAATTGGAAGAATTATATATTTATGATTGAGTTTTCCCATCAGAAGAGTGGCTATTTATTTAGGTCTTCTTTTATGTTCTTCATGAGTTTTATATTTCTTCCTACAATAGTTCTGCACATCTTTTGTTAGATTATTCCAAAGGACCCTTTATAATTTTTCTTGTTACTACAAACAGGATTTTTCTGTTATATTTTTTAATTCATTGTTTCTGAGAGAAAGAAATATTCTTGATGTACTCAGATAATATCCAGCAATTCTACTATGCTTTTTATGTCTACAGATTTTTTTTTATTTCCTGGGTTTGTGATCATAGTCCAACTCACTCAAAAAAGAAATAATTACCTCTCCTTCTTTCAGCTACAAAACATCTTTTCTTCTTCTTTTTTACTCTTCTTATGTCTTATTACTTAGGACCGTCAGTAAAACGTTTTACATTCATTCCTATCCCACATTTACTGGGACCCAGTATACAAAACGGATAAACATTGCTTCCCTCATGTCCCCCACATTCTAGCAGAAGACAAAGTAAAAACAAATAATGGAATGAAGAAGTAAATAAATGATATTTGTTTCCTTTTCTTACCCATCACAAGGTTTATAGCTGAGACCCATAGAATAAAAGACGGATTAACCAGAAAACCAGAGAAATAAATACAAATTTATTTAATATAAGTCTGGCATGACACAACGAGCCTTTGGAAAGCAACACTTGAAGGAACAGGTAAAAATTATTTTTGTGGATAGTCATGCAGAAGTTTGATTGGAAGACAAAAGGGTAAGTTTGATGGTAACAAACTTGAGGGAGCTTAGCAAAGCCTGTTTGTTCAGATTTTCCTTTCTGTCCCTGATGACTTTCCTGGAATGACCTATTTCAGTTTTATAGCCTCTTTCAGGGGAAAGGGAGCAAGGGGAACTCCTTCTAGTGTCCATGGCCTGCTTCTATGGCTTCCTCAATTTCCTTCAGCTTAAAATACTCAGTATACCAAGATGCCTTTTTTTTTGTAGAGACAGGGTCTTGCTCTGTCACCCAGACTGCAGTGTAGTGGCACAATCATACCTCACTTCAGCCTTGAACTCCTGGACTCAAGCAATCCTCCTGCCTAGCCTCTAAGATGCCTTATTTCATTTTTGATTTTGTTTTTAATTTTTTATTTTTAATTAATATGGCTACATAATAGCTGTATATCTTTATAGGGTACATGTGATGTTTTGATGCAAGCATACGAGTATGATCAGAGTAATTAAGGTTTCCATCACCTAACATTTTGTGTTAGGAACATTCCAATTCCACTTTTTTAGTTATTTTAAAGTCAACCTTATAGTCATTTTGTTATATTGTCAAATATTGTTCATTCTATCTAACTATTTAACTATATTTTGGTACTAATTAACCATCCCCACTTTAGTCCCCCTCCCTGCTATCCTACCCAGCCATTCTACCCTCTGTCTCCATGAGATCAATTTAAAAAAATAAATATATTTAGCTCCCACATATGAAAGAGAACACGCAAGATTGGCCTTTCTGTGCTTGGCTTACTTCATTTAATTACAGTTCCATCCATGTTGTTTCAAATGGGGGCGTCCATTCTTTTTGTGGCTACATAATATTCCATGGTGCGTATGTACCACAATTTCTTTATCCACTGATGGGCACTTAGGTTGATTCCATATCTTGACTATTGTGAATAGTGCTGTGATAAGCATGGGCATGCAGATACCTTTTCAAAATACTGAATTCCCATCCTTTGGATGTATACCCAGTAATGGGATTGCTGGGCCATATAGTAGCTCTATTTTTAGTTCTTTGAGGAACATCCATACTGTTTTCCACAGTGGTTGGACTAATTTACATTCCCAGCAAGTGTGTATGAAGGTTCCCCTTTCTCCACATCCTTGTTAGCATTTGTTATTATCTGTTTTTAAATAAAATCAATTTTAACTGGGGTGAGATGATATCTCATTGTAGTTTTGATTTGCATTTCTCTGATGACTGATGATGTTGAGAATTTTTTTTATACACCTGTTGGCCATTTGT